CAGATTGCAATACATTTATTTACCGTTCAGACAAAAACCAGAACAGGGTAAGAGTGGCTATTTCTTTGCCAAATGTGTCTAGGATCATTGGGTGGGGAAAATAACTGTAGTAAAACTGTAAGCAGATGAGGTGGGGGAGGAGGGGTCTCTGGAAAAAGAAAACCAGGCATGGCTTTCTTGACATAAGAGAAGGCATTTTTGGCCTAAGCTATTTTGTCATCTAAGCCTGTTTGCCCTTGAACAGGTCTCAGTATTATTATTTTTTTTAACAGTTCACAGTGATCAATATTCACTTCTTTATTTTCATTTAAAAATTAAAATTTCAAAGGATTGAGAATTCTAAGTATGTGGTTAAAGTTACCAGATAAAATTAGAAATACACTATGTATTGGGGTAAGAAAAGGTATAAGCTATGGAGATGTCTTTGTTAAGGAAGAAGAAAGTGATTTTGTCCTAAAGGTGGTCTTTTTTTTTTGAGGTATAGTTGACTTACAATGTTGTGTTGCTTCCTGGTGTACAGCAAAGTGATTCAGTTTCATATTTATATTTATATATATATATAGTTATATAGTTATATATAGTTCTATATTTGGGTGTATATATACATATATGTATTCTTTTTCAGATTTTTTTGTATAGTAATTAATGATCTTAAGGGGACAAAGAATGCAGAAACAAATGCCTGTTATCAGGCAAGAGAAGTAACAATAGCGAAGATAGTGTATCAGTTGTAAATTCAACCAGTTCTTTTCAATGGAAATGATTAGCCCGAAGCCTCAACCACCAGATCAACAGGAACTTAAGAGATGATATGTTGACCTTTTCTGACCCTCATGACTTCAATCCACTAAATCTTGGACTCTGTCCACAGCCCAAGCCCCTTCATCAATACACCTGTATCCTTAGCATAAAACTTACTCAGTTTTGCTGTTGGGAAGACACTGCTTTGGGAGAGATCCCCCGTGTTCTCCTTTCTTGCTGCAAGTAATAGGTCCTTCTCCTGATCTTTGGCTTGGTTGTGTCTTTTGGCTCGACTCCCACCGAGAGGGGAACACAGTTTTTCAGGTAACAAATTCATGGGAGAGAAAAAAAAAAAAAAAACGGATTTAGCAAGAGCATAACTTAGAGGGTAAGGATAGAGCACTTTGTATAAAAGAACTGGTGGTAAACGTGTATCCCATAGTGGTTATGGCCACATTCAGCACATAACCTGGTCCTTAACATTCCTCCTGGGAAATCTACCAGTCATTCCAGATGGTCATACCTGGGCAGAGAAGTCACACTGGGGAACTTGTCTCCCAATATGCCCGTTCTGCTTTATTTTGAAAGTTAGGGATGGAAAGCGTGAGTAGAATGGAGCTCATTTGGAATAGGAGGAAGGAATTGGAGGTGTCCAATTGAAGGGTGACCTCAGGCCGGACTATGAGGGTTGAGAAGAGATGTCAAGGCCAGCTCCAGTGATCCAAAACAAAAGCACACCCCAGGGATCACTTTCCTGAATGAGTTAACCTATTCCCTATGTTGAAAAATGAGAAACAAAAATCAGGCATCTTAAATGTTTTGAGATTCATTTTATTATATGTGCATATTCAAACACAGAAGTCTTATCTTTCATAAATATCTTTCATAAACATTTCAGTATTTATTCATATGCATTTTTTCCATGCTCTTTGGTCATTCAGTATTCATAACAAACTTTATAGTCATCTGAGGGATGTTGGCTGTGTAGTCAATCTTTTGTTTTTACCTATAAAATGGCTAATAAAGGATTTTCATCCTGCAGTCACAGTGACTTTTGAAAAATATGGAGGTACATTGATCTGTAATCCTAAATGATTCTAAAATAACATAAGAAAATTTGTCTTAAGTTTTTCCAGATACATTCTGCCCTAAACTTGTTTTTATTCTCCTGAGTGTCAAACCAAACTTTGTTTCTGAAATGCTGCAGTTAGGACCCACTGAAGTAAATGAGGAGGTGGGACTTTCTATTCACTGCCAAGACAAGGCCGTGGAATTGGAAGTGTGAGGTCACAGGGCAACAGCATGACTCGGTGTGATAGCAGCAAATTCCGGTGACTATTAGTCTCATGTACAACTTGAGGAAGGGTATTTAATTTCTATTTTGGACTGTCATTCTATTTATGACCCTTTCTTCCCTGTAGGTCCCTATATACACTCTATTCCTGTCTCAGATACTCTCAGAGCTGGACAGCAGACTGGAGAATGTTTTTCATTGACTAGAGGGACAGATAACTAAAGAAGGAGGAGATATCATCCTGCCTAAGGTACTCTTGGAGGCTTGAAATAGCAAATCAGTTACTTCCAGCCTACTCAACAGGCCCTAGTCAGACCCCGAAACTCCACAGATTTTTTTTTCCTCCAGCATTGCTATGCCCATTTATGCCTTTTGACACCGTAGTTCTCAGTGCCTTGCCCCAATGCACTCAACAACTCAGTTTCCTGTTTGGAAAAAAACAACTTATCTAATAGAATTACAGAAAGCAGCAAACACTGAAAAATGAAAGTAAAATGTTTTGCTGTATAAAATGCTGTATCCAGAATTTGAACTGCTTTAATTGAATCTGAGTAAATCTACACCCACTATCGTGGATGATACATGCTTATTCTAAGGTCTCTCAAAAGTTAATTTCAGAAGAAGCAACCTCTTGGTTGACACCAATTTTTTATACATGGGAAGTAGGTGTCTGTTTTAATTTTCCTCTGAACAAGATAAATATTAAGAATCATAGCTTAATAAATGATCTATTACCAATACTATATTTATCATATGTAATAATTAACTTTTAGTCATATACTCAATAATATTTTGAATTACAAAATATTGTTACTTATCTTGAACTTTTTCTAATCTTGCTCGACTTTTTTTTGTTTTTATAAATAATTATTCCTTCAAACTCCAGGTAACAGTATTCCTGAGAATACATCTTGTGACAATCTTATGCACATACATATAGATATTTTATCAATTACACACAGACATTTAACACATTACATTCAACACGTTTAAGGGCACCTTAAATGGAACAGATGTACACATCTGCAAAATCTCCATAGTCCCAGTATGAAAACATTCCCACTCTATAAGGCCCTATTTGTCAGAGTGGAGGCTTTTTTGCAAGGTACAACATTACTTAGCTTATTGAAAAAGTTTCCAGTAGACTTCCATAACACTAGAGTGAAGGAATCAGGGTAAAAGGCAGACAGGCCAGCATAGTCATGTTCAAAACATCCCAATACTTTTTAAATATATATATAAAGGTATATAGGATTCTGGTCAGATATTTAACAATCTTCTTTGACCCTTTTACTTTTTAAATATTTGATACGATTATACATAGAGAATTTGAGTCAAGAATCAAGAAACTGGAACAAAACACGCACATACATAGAGACTCATATAGCACAGACACTTGTAATTACCAAACATAAGGCCTCTAACACTAAGGGAGCAGCATAATTTTTAACAGGCGAAATATATCAGCTTAGAAAGAATCATAAAACCACTTATATATGTATATTTCTGCATTTGAGAATTCAGCATTAAGTGTAAATGTCCTGAAAATATTGTAAAACATAGATGAGGCCATTTACCACCTCTGCTTTCTGAAGTTTTAGATTTGAAATTTTTAGTTTTGTCCTTTAACTCACAGATATCTTTCATTCTATTAGCGAGTGAGACCAAAACCCCAAATTATATTTGAAAGTATATATCACATTAAAAACAATGCCTGTTTAATAAGCAATTCTAAGAGAAAAATAAGTTTCCTTTGTGATTTGGGTGGGTTTAGTAGGTCTCCTTTATATATACATATACCATATCAGAGCCAATGTAGTCAAAGTTTAAGTGTACAGAATGGGTTCCCAATTCATTGCAATGTAATCACAGTCTAAACTTTAGCTCGAGGACTAGAAAACACACATCCCCCCCTCACCACCATACCAATTTACATATATATATATATATATATATATATATATATATATATGAGTTTTTATACACTTAGAAGTTATGTAACAGTTTTCTAATGTAAACTGTTAAAGTTTTGAAATTTAATCTTGAACTACATCATGCCAAGCCCTGCTATAGGATCAATAACACACTAGATATAGCCTCACAAGCCAAGTTTTATACTTTTCTTGAAGTAACTGAACTTCAAGTTAAAGTAAAATATACAAGCTCTGTCTATAGAGAACCATAAACTTAATATCTAAAGGACATGAATATTGTTAACACTGAGAAAGAGTTATTTCATTGAACAAATTCTAACAACACTAACCTTAATATAATATCTGAAAATATGCCATCAAGGGCAGGCACAGGACACTGTAAGGGAAAGTAATCACATTTCCCAATATCTCCCAATCTTGGCATTGATGTAGTCAGGACCAGAAGTAGGAATACCATCTCTTTTTAGCTATTATATTTACATTTAATTTTTATTATAGTATAGGCTACTTAGGTTCTTCTTAGTTCAGAATTATGTCTGATAATTTCTAGAATATTCTCTAATGTGTTATGAAATGGAATGATCTTATGGCATTAGCATTTTGATTTACAATATGCAATGAAAATGACAGTTAAAAAATAAATATTGAAAAATCCACAGCTCTAAAAATAGTATTTTTTCTTCTTCTAAATGGCTGTATTGTTGATCAAAAAAAAAAAAAAAAAATGGCTGCAGGCTTATTTGCTATCAAGTTTCCCCAAACTAATATTTTCCTTATTGATTACTTTTATATAAATTGCTACTTGTACAGCCACCTGATTTAATGATTTTGAAATTAGAAAAATAAACATTTGCATGAGATGTATAATGTAACCTCAAAAAATTGCTTTCTCTTTTTAGAACACATTATTTGTTAATATTCCTAGGTAAGCAGCTCTGTAACAGTATACATTTTCAACTGCTCAAGGCTTCTTGAATCATAAACAATGTGCAGTGAAATGGCTTTTTCCCTTTATTCCTCCCTAGATTTTATGGTCTTCACACAACCAAACCATCTTAGCCATTGATTTTTAAAAGATGTTTATGAAACAATATACACATCGACAGCAAAATCCACTGGGATTTGTGCTACCCACTGAGTGTAAAGTGCTATGTTTTCATCTTTTCCAAGCACAAGTTTTCAACTTTTAGCAAAGTGATCCCTTCCACATCTTGTCTACACCTACAACTCTTAAAAGGTACAGAATTAAACATGAGACTCATCTAGGTCTACCTCAGTCTCCCCTAGCTCAGTGGGAGTAAAAGGGAACTGACTGGACAGGAGGGGGTTCTCCATGCCATTTTCCTCACTGATGTGAAGGACAGTGTCTCCATGCTGTAGGAGGATGGATGTCTCAAGGCCTGTGAAGTCATCAGGGTCTGAGAGTTGAGTAGAGAGGGGGCTATGTGCTGTAGCACCTTGTATTTCTGTGTCCTCCTCCTTTTCTCCTTCTTCAGCTGGGAGGCTTTCACCCTGTGACCAAAAGGATCATAACATCATGGGAAGGTAGGATGTGTACTAGGGAAAAGGATCAAAGAATGTCTGTTGTACAGCTGTAACTGGACAAGGAATCCCAAGGGTGGACCCAGTTTTAGCCTTTGGTATATGTGAGACCTCATATAGGCCCTTCCAACTTTCTAAGCCTCAGTTTTCTAACCTGTTGCATGAACATAATATTTTGCCCCACTTATCCTGCAGACTGTGAGGATAAAAATGAGACAATGGTATTACAATGCTTTTTAACCATTAAAGACTTTACAAACGTATATAGTATATTGCCCCTTAGCTTTCTTTAAACACCACATGAGAAGAACGTGGGACCTATGGGAATTTAATGATAAAAATCAAAAGCAGGGAAAAAGGGACTTCTCTGGTGGCACAGTGGTTAAGAATCCACCTGCCAATGCAGGGGACATGGGTTCAAGCCCTGGTCCGGGAAGATCCTACATGCCACGGAGCAACAAAACCCGTGTGCCACAGCTACTGAGCCTGCTCTCTAGAGCCCATGAGCCACAACTACTGAGCCTACTGAAGCCCATGCACGCCTAGAGCCCACGCTCCACAACAAGAGAAGCCACCGCAATGAGAAGCCCGCACACCGCAATGAAGAGTAGCCCCCACTCACCGCAACTAGAGAAAGCCCGCACAGCAACAAAAGACCCAACACAACCAAAAATAAATAAATAAGATAAATAAATTTTAAAAAGCAGGGAGAAAAATCAAAACAACAAGAAAATATCAAACAACGACGAAAAAGATCAAAACAATGACGAAAAAGATCAAAACAAAAGTTCCTCTCACAGGATTCAGAAGGTTCTATATTTAAAGGTTTCATCTAAATTGGTAACTTTATTTATATATTTTTTTGAATTGAACTGTCAATCATGTATTATATACTGGTTTTCAATGGTTAACTATGAAATATTTCTTCTTAGGGTTTTCATAACAAAGAGTACGAAGATTTCTCTTATGCCTTCTTAAGTAGATGGATTCTTGGCCATATACTTCACAGTTGTTTTTTTTTCATGATGACAGGACCAGTGTCTGTCTAACAAAACATTACAGACCCAGACTTAAGTTACATGGATGACATCTGCATATCCCAATGGTTCCCAGACAGAAGTATGCAAGGAGCAAGACTTGCCTGTTTCTCCAGTGCCCTCACCTGCTTGGGAGACAGGCTGTGAAGGTCAGCAACAACAATGGCGGGGGAAGACGTGAGCACTGGTTTGTCCATTCCGTCTGGTTTCCTGGATGGGGCTGGGCTGCAGCCCTGTGGCTGGCCTGTGGCAGGAAGCATGTCTGTTGGGGCACCTGCTGGCTCTGCCTGAGCTTCAATGAAGGTCACAGATCGTTTCTGATCCGCTGTAGGTCAGAAGTAGAGCAGTAAATAGGAATAGGAGGAAAGTAGGTTGGCAGTGCTTAGTAATTAGTTTTAACAAGTGTCTCCTGACTTGACTTTTCTTGGTAAAGACATTGCTGGTTTATCAGTAAATGAGAGCAGATTAGACTCTTATGTATATGTATTGATTTCACCTTCTTACAAAGACTAGGACTTGGGTACAAAAATCATTATTGCATAAAATAGCCTTTTCAGGGACTTCCCTGGTGGCGCAGCGGTCAAGAATCTGCCTGCCAATGTAGGGGACACGGGTTCGAGCCCTGGTCCAGGAAGATCCCACATGCCGTGGAGCAACTAAGCCCATGCGCCACAACTACTGAAGCCCACGCGCCTAGGGCCCGTGCTCTGCAACAAGAGAAGCGGCCGCAATGAGAAGCCCGCACACCGCAACGAAGAGTAGCCCCCACTCGCCGCAACTAGAGAAAGCCTGCGTGCAGCAACGAAGACCCAACACAGCTAAAAATAAACAGTATAACAAAAAATTAATTAAAAAAAATTTTTTTAATAGCCTTTTCACGTAAATAGTTTTTACATAAAAACAAAATTGGCATAGATCATTAAGTGAACTTGGTCATTCCTCATAACAACTGCCAACAAGATTTAAAAGTCCCTATTATTCATCATTCCTTTGTCTTCAGTAAGACATATAACAAACCCAGTTCCTGGCTTGGGTAAATGAAACACAACCTTCTATCATCAAATTTCATAGCATTTGTGGTTTACCTTGGACTGTTCCATTTCCTAGGTGCATGAGGGGAGGGATGGAATTGGGAAAGGTGAGTGGGAAAAAAGGCACTCAATTTCCTGGGAAATTTCGTCCCTTTTCCTAGTGGCTCGCCAAAGGTGTGCTTATCTGCATGAGCTCAGTCTCTGCAGGCCTTCCTGGCTGTGTGGCAGGGCAATGTGTCAATGTGTAGCCAGAAGGGACACAGGAGGCCTCACCAGATGGCTTCGTTTTAGGTTGAATGCTCCTGCGGGTGGTTGACAGCCGAGCCCCGTGTCGGTTTCTGGGTTCAGTCTGAGTCTTCTGACGTGATAGTAGAGGACGTCTTAGCTAAAGAGAACAGGCAGAAGAAAACTAGCAAGAAGGGTCTAACTGCCTGGGAGGAAGGACTGAGCTCAGAGGATTCTATGGTTTATTCCCTTCTTTGTGGGTCTCTGTGGAGTCTTATGGTTGTTCCTTAACATTCATAGCCAATAAAATAAACTTCTTTCTGCATACTTAAATACAAATACATATTTGATTCTGGCATCCCCTTAGCCACTTCTATCTTACGATTATTACTCCTTTATATATCCTAAGAACATTAACATAATTTGAAATAGTCACAGTGAGAATTTCAGTGAATTTAAGGATACAAAACTAACAATGATTGCTTACCAATCAGCCTTTGCTCATCTAAAAGCTGTAGCTGAACATATGCTAACTCTCAAGGGGAGGTTGATGAAAAACACCTCAGGTACTGGGAAAATGTCTGGTCTCCAAATCAGTGCTGGGATGCTCCCATCAAAGCAACAGCACACTCATTTAGATTTTTATTTAGACAGTAACGTAAAGGAACCCCACCTAGGGAAATTTATAAAGATGATCTTTACTTCGATTTCAGTTTTAAATTGAATTATTAATCTTGAAATGAGGAAGAAAGGATGGCTGTCTCTGCCTCTCTACAGAAACAGGCCTTAAATCAACCTTACAATGAATCTTCCATTGTCAGTAGTTTGGCTGGCAAAGGTTTCTGGATAGGGAGCAAATAAAAATATAGGCCCACTTATTTTACCAAGTAATCAGCTTTGCTAATAAGAAGATTCAGAGCTAAAAATAGAAGAAGCCCCAAACTCTCTGCTTGCCCAAGCGCTCACCATGTTTTAAAGTTGCTCTGTACTGCTTATTTCAGGTGGGGAGAAGGTAAAATATAGTCTTAATATACAAGGGCATTAAAAACTGAGTAGACCTTGCATTTCGCAGGATGACTCTCCTGCCCTTCCAGGGCCGGCTTACCTGCCTCAGGCCCCTCTTCCTCCCCAGCGGCTGCTGAGTGTGGAGGTTCTGCTGGCCAGGTTCACTCTGCACACTTGCCACCCTGTTGAGAGCATCAGCAGTGTTAGTGTGCCCTGGAGCAAGCACACAAGACCATTGTCTGGTGGGTGTTAGTCAAAATCACTTACAGGAAACAGTCACTTCAAAGATACCATTATCTTTGAAGGAAGGTTGGGAAAGAATCCCTGGGATGGGAGTTTTCAAAGGTTTAGGAGAGAAGACCGAGGCCTTGTAGCCCCAAGCTGCCAAAATTGAGATTCTGTTTTCAATCACTGATGCCGGATTTATCATTCAGCAAAACATCACACCCCTGGTTTGGAAGCCACCAAAAGGCTTAAGATGTTATATGCTAATCTCAATTTTTTTTTCAAGGGTAAGGAGAAAGGTGGTGACGAACAAACATGTACAACTCTATCACATGGATGGGAACACCTTTAAAAATTTTTCAATTTAAATGAAAATAAGATGAACGAATATCAAACACATCAGACACAGAATCCATTTGGGTGAAGGGTCACATTCAACACATGTTTGCAGCCTGAAGTCTCTGTGACTGAGTAAACGAATAGTCGCATGGATAGACAATTAAATGTCTTGTAAAAATGATTTTAGATGTAAAAGGCTGGCAAAGTAATTAAGCTGTCATTACAACTTAGAAGTTTAATATCGAACAGCTGCACCCAAACATAATACACAATTTATAAAAACAACAACCTGCTCCCCCCAAATTTACTGTGTATGTGTCTTTTTTATATGCAAAAATGACTGCTGGCAGTGGTTCCTATTTTAGTGTTGGGTGAAGCTGAAAACACTCTCATGGACGCATGATCATTTTTCATTCTGCATGCATGTATAATAGGAATTTATAATGGGAGTGGAGGTGAAAAAAAGAAATGTATTGTGCCCCAGAGAACACTGTAATCCTGTGGATGATGCCACTGTGATTATTTGGTTAATGGGTAATTAATTTCTGCTTTGCCTTTGCGAAAGGAGAGTCATCTGCAAATAGTTTTGACAGCAAAATATTCCACAGAGGAATGCAGAGCTAGCAACTGTCCATGAAAAGGAAAGACTGTATGCATTCATTGCTATTTTAAAAAAATGAGCTACCTAAAAACAGTCTCCGTGCAGGTGGCAGGATGGACAATCAGATGTTTCCCCTGTTTTATTAACAACTAGTTAATCATCACATGGTTGACACAGTCACGTGTCATTTTTTAAAAGTCTTACTCATATTTCCACTAGAAGAGAATCAATGATTCCCAAATGGAGTTTATCATAGTTCTTCTGAAATAAGCATGTAATTATATTGTAATTAGACCATTTGGGATATACAGTACAAAATTCCATAAAGAGTTTTAAATACAGACGTTTTTTAAACTTTCTTGTTCTCCTGAATATCAAGTTCAAAAGATCAATGTACATTATTTTTACACATATATGGCCTTGTACCATAGATGATCTATGAAGATGGAAAATTACCCCAAAGGAACAGTGCAATAAATTCTGATAAGCAATCCAGACTAAGTTGCTGGCATGTTTGAAATGACATCTCCTTATTAATTATACATTTTAACGTGTCTTAAATTGGAAAGAGTATTCAATTACCATATGCACAAAAGTAGAAACAAGTTTCTCCCAAATACCAAGCAAAGCTTTCACTGGAATGGATTCTTCATTGACGTCTAAATGTTACCTCAGTTCCCTTGGCCGTAAAGGGAGGTTAATACTTACCCCATACCTCCCATTAAGGTAGAGAAAAGAAGTTAGTTGATGTAAAATGATTTGAATATGAAAAGTGATGTAACATAGTATGCTTCCTTGTTTTACACTTGTAATGAATTTATTGCTTCTAGACCACTAGAAGGAAGTAGGTAATAAAATGTCTTAAAAATATTTGGGCAGAGAAAATGAAATAGAGGCAGTCCGCTTGTCTCATTTTATTCAGTAATCTGAGATTGTGAGGAAAAAAAATGGTGCAAGAAAAGAAATACACGTCGCTCAGGGAGTGTTAAATGTCAAAACAATGGTAATTTCATCATGATTATTCCAAGGGAGGATCAAAAGCATCAAAATTTTCTCTATGGATAGAGAGGCTTATATCTAAGAAATGGATCAAGTTTATAGCTTTAGTAATTAGCTGTCCTATGTAAATGATATAGTATTTCATCAATGGAATGCACATATAAATGATTAAATTATAGGATGTGTCCTTGGAAATACAGCTCAGTTAATATATACATATATATAGTCTCCCTGAGAATGTGATGCTAACATGTTTATATTTGGAACATCAAAGTCTGGCTTAACTGCATGAAGGGGATATGTTAATAATAAACAACCAGAGAAATTAATAACTGAAGTTATTTATGCAGAAGTAAGTTCGGGTCTATATCAAATTAGAGTTGCATATAAAAAGTGGTCTCAATTTACTTTCTCCCCATGTCATGTAGTATTTCCGTCACGTGTAGGATTTGTGATGTGTGGACCATCAGGTGTGCAATGTAACACCAACCAGAAGACCATGGTGTTTGCCTGAAGCATCTCTCTGGGGAAAACTGATTCCCTAAAAATTTTAATCTTGGGAATTCGAGAATGGCTGATTTCCACTGTTTTGCCAAATAAAAAGGCAAATCCATAAGTATAAAAGCAAATAAAACTTTCTAAATGGAAGTTAAAATCATCCTTTGTTATTTTTGAGTCACTAAACAACATTACTATGGCAAACGATCTGGATTTTAGAGAAGTAAATATACTTGGGTCTTGGCAGAACTGATGTGACTCAACCTTCTGCAAAAACCAAAATCACCTTACTCTAAATGCAAGGAAGTAATTTACAAGCTAGGGAAATTTAGACAATGTTAGAAGACAATTCTGGCACAAATGACCTCTTTTCTCTTCTTTCAGCATGAAGACTTGGATTGGAGTGTATAAACACGTATGTATCTCCTAATGGAATATATAACTAATGGTATTTCTTAAAGGACAGGGGAACAAAGGGCCATTCAGTAATACAACAAAAATTTATATCACTCATCTCAAAGTACAAAAAAAGTGTATTTCAATCTAGAAATAGATTCCATAAATAAAAATTTTAAGTAGAAGTACTGGGTGAGACTAGTATAGAGAAAATGAATTTGTATTTTCATTGCTTTTATCTGTACTTTTAGTTTCAATTTTAATATGGTTATAGAGAAATCTATAGGGGGAGTACAAAGCACACAGCGTAGCCATTTTCCCTGAGTGCTTGCCTTGTGATGGGAAGGCATAAAGCCAGAACTGAAGGAGCCATAAAGCATTTATAGAGGACAGAGACATAAACAGTGGACAAAATCCTACTCTTCCCTTTCCCAGTAAAAGATTATTGTTTAAAATTTACTTAGCCTCCACAACATCCAAGAAAATATATATATTTTTTTATTTTTAATTTTTTTTGTGGTACGCAGGCCTCTCACTGTTGTGGCCTCTCCCGTTGCAGAGCACAGGCTCCCGACGAGCAGGCTCAGCGGCCATGGCTCACGGGCCCAGCCGCTCCGCGGCATGTGGGATCTTCCCGGACCAGGGCACGAACCCATGTGGCCTGCATCGGCAGGCGGACTCTCAACCACTGCGCGCCACCAGGGAAGCCCTAAGAAGATATATTTTAAATGCCACAGAATTTAGAGATTAGAGACTGGAATCAGATAAAAAGGGGGAATAATCTGGATCTCAGTTATCCTATAAGAACTGATTTAGCATTGGCAAAGTACACTTCTCTGGGTATCACAACACACATTTTCTTAGCTATTAATTCTCAGCTACATAAAAAGTTTGTTTTAATCTTTTCTTTGTAATTTGGGAGTACTTGCCAAGTTTGCATACTTTGAAAATGTGGATGATCATGAGATGGATAGGTTATTTTTATTTTGTTTCACCCAGACTGTATATCTTGTTCAAACTTGAGCCACATTCTTATTTTCCACTGCAATTAAAATTACCCTTACAGAATCAAATAGCGTTGTAATCTCTTTTTTTTTTTAAGCTAGATTTGGTTGTCAGTTCCTGCCTTTCAAAATGTTCTAACGTGTCCAAACAAAATTTAACTCTCAAGTATAAACTTCTAGGCTTAAGTGCTTGAATAACTTTCTGTATGTCTATATTCTTCTAGAGAGAAAATATGGTCCATGGTGTGTGTACTTGGGGGTGGGTACAGGGAGGGAAGAACTGCAATGAAGTTTCTGTACTTCTAAGAGCAACACTCTTAAGGAAGAGAATTCTTCCATGAAATATTATTGCAGTTTATTAATTTCCAAAAGACAAAATTTTTTGTCAGCTTAGTGATTCTAACAGGCTTATACTTCTTGCCATGAATCTTTATAAGAAACCAGTTAGCACAGGTTAAAGAAAAATCCTAGAAGAAATTTTCTAAAGGTCTGCAAAATTTTTATTGGTTTCCACCTATTCATCAGGTTATACTACTATCCTGGTCTCTTCCTCATTTAGCCCTCAGACCAACTTGCCCATTTTGCCTAAAACAAGTGCTCTTTCAAAAGCCAGTCCCCAGAAAGTTTATCAAAATGTGGGGTTGGGAGGGGGAACAGCTTGCTGATATTCTTTAAGCTTTGGAGTCAGGTTTTCCTTAGGATTACTTTGGGTGTCTTTTAGGTCCTGAATGCTCAGGTATGTGCTAAATGTAACTTACGTTGTTAATGTCTTACTGCTTCTTTAGGATTTTAAGAGTCTGCAGCACAAAGAAGTTTCATGCCCCAAATAAGAAAGTCTGGAAACCAAATATAAGAAATATATATCCTATTTTATAAACCCACCTCTTAGTAAATGCCAAAAGTTCCTCTCCTCCAAAGAGAACTTGATGACATGATGGAATTCAAGAGATATGATTTGCAGTGTATGGCAAAGGTGGATGTGCTACGGCCGTTGGAACGCCTCTGCATTTACAGAATTATTTAGAATCCAAAGTGAGTGCCTCATTTTCTGCTTTCTTAATGACCACAAATGAACCCAGCTGACTGACACCCAGGACTAAAACACACCAGCTACAGGAGTAACAGATCAACAACAGTTGATCTAAAAGAGTCATCAGTGTTCTCCCATATTCAACTGCAGATGAAACCTATAGCTTTGGCTCTGAACCACCCTCGGATAGCCAGAACTTTGGGTTTATTCCTATCAAAACTGGACCCAGAGCAGATTGGATTGGTTTAGACAACACCAGATCAGTCATTTGAACCCTTAAGCCTGCCAGAGAGGGCCAAGTCCTTGGGAGAATTTATAAAAATCAACTCAAACTCCTGCCTTCTCTCACCAACCCCAGACTAGCCTTTTACGCAGCAAGAACAGAATTTGGCCTAATTAGAAAAGGCCCGGGACAAAGTCAGCCCAATGGAAGTCTGATTTAATACTCTCTACTCTCAACAGGACATTGAAATCAGCTTCCTAACTAGGTTCTCCTGTCTTGTATGTAATATTCAGCATTAAACAAATGAATGCTTTGAAACCAGTGGTCACAGTGCTAGGCTTGGTTCAGAGCTCTTCCAACACTGTGAACAATGAAGGGAAACCTCCCTAAGGACTGCTCCATTCTTCCTCATCCCCAAAGCTCTCGGTAATGGAATTAAGCCTGCACTCTGCAGCACTTCCACATTTACCACCAATAAGAGACTGACCTGTCCAGGCAGGGGCTCGCAAACACAAATGAATGTCATGAATTACGGGGCCAGTTAAAAAAAAAGATACACCAGATGATGGAATAAATTTCCCATTTTCAACTGTGGAAGAAAATGTGAAATCTGAACAAGATGCAAAGAAAACAAAGGACAACCTTTCACAGGAACGGCCTCTCAACATTTCCTCGTCTTTGTGATAAAGCAATAAACACGGGTGCAACTCACTATATAATGCAAACCTGAAAGGGAATATTTTATCTTGAGATGGAACAAAGGCACTCTTAGCATGAACAAGAAGCATTACTCCTAATGAGGATTAGTTGAGAGGTGTGAATCAACAGCACAAAATTAGGAATGTTTGCCGTGGTTTAACTGAGTGTTAAAGGTGCAGTCCCCCTTTCTGAAGCTTTAAACCAATAGCTAAGCCATTACATTGTTTGTATCATAAGACTTCTCTCACCAAGAAATGTTTGTGTCTGATATTTCATGGGAAATTTGGTGGTCATCTTCGTGGTGGGATAGACATTCTTTATGTAAGTGTTGTTTGAACAAGCTACTATAATAGCCTGTCATGCTGCATGCATCAAAGAGAGGGAATTATATAAATCGTACTGACATTGGTACTCTTATTATAGCATCACTGTTTTCTTATCATCCATGGTACTAGCTGAAAGACCTGTCTGGACTGAGGCTTCCTAATGATGGGGAGTTGTATTAAAAGGCTTCTGAAAAAAATGTTTCTTAAGGAATATCAGCAGGGGAGAAAATGATTAGGTGGGATGAATTTAATATTTTGCATATCAAACTCCTGAGACAGTCCATGGGATAAGCCCCTCGGAGAACTCCAGGAAGTTTTTTTTTTGTTTTTTTTTTTTTTAAAGTTAGCTTTTTAGGCCATCTCTGATTGAGCTCTGAAGCTGAAAATAAAGGAGGCTACACCTTTGACTTCCAGGCTCGTGTGTTTATGAGCAACAAAGGGCAAGGAATGGAAATCGATATCAAGACGGGGCGAGAGGAGACAGAGAGACAGAGGAGACAGGGAACAGCTCGTTTCCCAGCACAGACACCAATACACAGGTAGCGTTGACACTGTACCTAGAGAGGCTGCCCTCGGCGGCTAGGCCCTGGGAGTCATCGAGGACATTAGGTTCACTGCAGGAGGGGTAGGGAGATGAAGCATTTAGGGAAAG